AATCCATTTTTGAAGTAGTAAGACAAACTGAATAGCAAAGGATTATACCAATATAATCGTTCTGAGCACAGAGGCTTTTTTTTTTTTTTTAGTTGGAGTCTCACTCTGTCGCCCAGACTGGAATGCAGTGAAACGTTCCCGGCTACTGCAACCTCGACCTGCTGGGCTCTGACAATCCTTCCACCTCAGCCTTCCAAATAGCCAGAACTACAGGCATGCACTACCATGCCCAGCTAATTTTGATTTTTTGTAGAGACGAGGTCTTGCCAAGTTGCCTGAGCAGGTCTCGAACCCATAGGCTCAGACAATCCACTCACCTCGGCCTCCCAAAGTGCTGAGATTACAGGCTGAGCCACCGAGCCTGACCGCACATAGGCTTTTTTTTTTTTTGAGTTGGAGTCTCACTCTGTCACCCAGACTGGAGTGCAGTGGCCGCTCCCGGCCACTGCAGCCTCAACTTGCCGGGCTCCAGCAATCCTTCCGCCTCAGCCTTCCAAGTAACCAGAACTACAGGCGCGCGCTACCACACCCGGCTAATTTTTTTGATTTATTGTAGAGATAAGGTCTCACCAAGTTGCCCAGGCGGGTCTCGAACCCAGGGGCTCAGGCAATTCACTCACCTCGGCCTCCCAAAGCACGGGATTACAGGCTGACCCACTGAGCCGGGCCAGCTTTTTAAAGCAATGTGTGTTAATAAGCTTTAGCTGCGTAACAAACCACTCAATATTAGTGTCTTAAAAAACAAACATTTATTTTTGTCTCACAGTCTCATAGGTCCCCTAGGTGGTTGGGGCCATGTGGTTTATGATGAGCTCACTCACAACAGGCATCTGGTAGGCTAAGCTGTGGAAGTCTTGCAGCAAGGGTGCATCTTGCTCCATGTGGCCTTCTTGCCCACAGGGAGCTAGCCAAAGCAGGGGCTCCAAAACAGCAGAGGAGGGCAGGCCCCAGGGGACTAGCATGTCTCATGGCTCTGGTTTTGCTGTTGTCCTGTCCAAGCCCAGAGTCGGTGTGAAGAGGACCTCCCTGAGGGCAAGGATGTGAGAAGCAGAAATAAATAGGGGTCTTTATCTCAGCGAGCTGCCAAGACTTGCAATTCATCTGCGTTATTTAGTCAGTGTCCCTAAATTCTGATTCAACCTCCAACTGGGGACATGAGGCCATATAAGAGAGAAAAATTAAACAGGCTGTCATAGCTACAGAGTTTTCCAAGAGTTTACAGACTCTGGTTGCCCTGCAATACTTAATCATATGAAGTTCCTTTCAACTTTTTATTTTTTGAAGCTTTGTACTATAAAAGGAGGGAGCCTTTAATCCTCTCTCAGTAAATAGCCCAAATTGATTTCTGCAGGTACCATACTGATGCTAGATGTGGTGTGATTGTAATGGTTGCGACCATTTATTTATGAGAGCTCCTGTGTGCCGTGCTGTACACATGTCACGTAATTCTGACACCCCCTTGATGTTGGCATTATTATTCCATTTTACAGCTGAGAAAGCCAAGTCACAGGAGTTAACTACGTTGCCTAAGGTCATACAGCTAGTGGGTGGTGGACTACATGTTGAACCCGGGTCTTTCTAAGTCCACAGCTACAATCTAAAGAATAATTTCTTCCTTCACGGGATGATATATTTTTTTATTCAGCAGTCGTGTTTTTTTTGTGTTTTTTTTTTTCTTTTTGAAAGCTTTGAGTATTCTGTGTCATCCTCTGAAAAACTGGGAACTGTGTTGAAACTTGAATTTTTCCCCCTACCCTGTTACTGTTTAAGTTGTACCAAATAACCAGATTTAATTTGATGATGAATCGCTCAGAATAGAAAAGTGACTGCTATTTTCAGATGTTATTTTTAAACATTTCAGAATACCTGATCTCTCTGTGATCTATCCCTGGCTCTTCTAAGCTTCCAAACTAAAATTAAGAATCTTGAATTATTCCAGTACATAGATTTAAACTTTTGTCAGGAAATCCCCTTCATTTAAGAGATGATCCGTGTTCCTCTCATGCTCCCTTCGTACATTGCACTTAAACGGCCTCTTCACACTTGCCAGAGTATGTCTTTGCCTGGAAGAATCTGTTTTCTCATTGAAGCGTGGGCTTCTTGAGCAGAGACCTTGTCTTCCATCTCTGCATCCTAGCACCTGGCATACTAACAGAACATACTAACTATTGTTATGTGACTTTATGACTCTAAAATTTCATGCCCAGCAGTGAAATTTTTCTCTATCTCTGTCGTATATATACACAGAGATGTATCTTCCTTTTAGTCCTTTCTCCTTGTGAATTATCTTTCCACCCTCTTTCTCTTTCTTGGTGCCTATTTCCCTTAGCTTCCTGTTTCTCTCACCATCTGTCGCTAGGTTCATCTTGTGGCTCTTAACTGTTTTACAACCCCTTTGATAAAACTATGAAATTGTCTCCCCAGAAAAATACATACAGTGAACATGGAACGTTTTTGCATATTATTTCAGAGGTTAAGAATGCAAAATGTCTAGACTTGGAGGTCCTTGAGGACAAAAACTAGACTTTTTCATCCTTGTATCCCCAGTATTGTACTTGATGCTTATTGAGTATATGTGAGTGAGCATACACCCACATACATGTGCATATCACCATGTTTGTAGAAAAACTGTTGTCAGAAAGATTTTTCTAGGTTGGAGCTGTCCAGTATTTTAGACACCAGGTACATGTGTTACTGATCACTTGAAATGTGGATCATCCAAATTAGGATGTGCTAATTGTAAAATACAGACTGGATTTCACAGACTTAGAACAGTACAAATAAAAGAATGCAAGATATGTTATTAATAGTTTTTATATTCATTGTATGTTGAAATGATAGTATTATGGATATTTTGAGTAAAATAAAATATATTATTAAAATTAATTTCACCTCTTTATTGTTACTTTTTGAAAAGCAACTACTAGAAAATTTAAAATTATACATATAGCTACTCATGGAGAAGGTTTGTATCCAGCTTAATTCATTAGGATAGTTCGTAGAAACAGTAGTTTTCGGGACTGAGTATGGTGGCTCACACCTATAAACCCAGCGCTTTGGGAGGCTGAAGCAGGAGGATCACTTGAGGTCAGGAGTTCGAGACCAGCCTGGGCAATATAGTGTGACCCTGTCTCTACAAAAAATACAATAAAAATTAGCCAGGTGTAGTGGTGCTTGCCTATAGCTCCAGTTACTCCGGAGGCTGAAGAGGGAGGATCATTTGAACACAGGAGGTTGAGAATGCAGTGAGCTATGATCGTACCACTGCATTCCAGCATGGGTAACAGAACAAGATCTGTCTCTAAAAACAACAAATAAACAACAGGTAGTTTTCTTAAGTTCATGGATATGTTGAGCTAAAGATCCTACAGGTCCTCACCCTCCACTTACATGGCTTCCTGTCCCTCCCCGCTATCAAACATTCATGAGAGCTAATAGGAAGAATTTACTTTGCTTTTAATGAACATATAAATTCTTTTCTACTGTCATTAGTATCCCTAGAACAAAAGCACTGTTGACTCAAGTTATTTTCATTAATGAAAAGGAAGCAGCAGAATGACTAATATAAATTCAAGGAGACATTATTTTTTTTGGAATGTTTTGATTCTTGCATTTTGGAAAAGGTTTGGCTGTTGGAAGAAGCAGCAGAATCATTCTAGGTGTATCTGACATGTGAGGAATTGGAACATGTTTCAGTGTCCCCTGCCTTCCATATAGTGCGTAAAGGATCCATCAAGCATCAAATTATTCCTTTCCAATCCAAAATCCAGTGCATAAATGAACTTGATGTATTTGTTTTTTCTTACCCCTGGTTTAGGGCAGAAATAATATGCTGGTTTAGAGACTTTTCCACTGAACTGTGGCATAATAGGATAAGAATACTTATGTCCAAAATAGCCCCACAATGTCCTTTTTGGCATTAAAATTTCCAGAGTAAGTTTGCTGTGGATTCTTGAGGATAACTGTATTAATCAGAGGCCGGCCATTTCTTATTAGAGCTGATTTCTGTCCTTTGGGCACAGAGTGAGAAACGCCTACCTGCTGTGACCCAGGTACATGTTAGGGAGGGCACACTGGCCACATGGTGCAGAGGTGGGCTGGTGCTGGCTGCAGCAGCCCCAGAGTGGGAACTCCACCAGTAGCCCACAGTTTTTTAAACAACAGGCAGGGGATTGTGCTGGTGATGTCTCCTGGCACCTGCTCCCACTTTGGGCAGCAGGCCACAGGTGGTCAGTGCTTAGTAAGGGCATGGCTAAGCTTCGGGGATCTGTGTTACAGGATCTCTGCTGCCATGGAGAGTCAAGGAACATGTTTAAGCCCCTGGAACTCAGGCCTGGGGCTTGGAGGTTGAGTAGAATAAATCTCCTGAAGTCCAAAATAGCATGTGACATTTTTAAGTTAGGAAACCAAACAGCTCTGAAAAGGTCTATAGAGTTATAGCTAAGTGGCTAATACTGAAGATGTCATAGAAGCTCAGGAGGGGATAAAGTAATCCAGAGTTGGTTCAAGTTGCTAAATTATCCTGTCTACCCATCTTTTTGAAAAGGGGAGGAAATGACATCTCCCAAAGACGTTTACAGATTTGATTGATGTTTGTAAAATGGTTTGATATCTTTCATAGAGTGTGCTGTAAGAGCAAAATATGTCATCAGAACTTAAATATCTAAAGCAAGCTAGTGTGAGTCATCTTGAGTGGATACCAAGCAGTTCTGTCTTTGTTATAAGTTGTCCTCATCAAGGGTGTTTATATTTTTGAAAGGAAGTTTCACGTTCTGATTTACTTTTAAATATCAGCCATATTCTTGGGTCTATAACTGTTAGCTTGAGCTTCGGCATGCTTTGTAGGTGGTCAGTTACCTATAGAGGACAATTTTTCCAGCCAGGAGGTTAAATGCACCTCAGGATGCTTCTTGCCGAGGGCGGTGCCTTTTGCAAATATTTGAGATGTATGCTCTCAGTTGTGATTTATTAGTGAACCTGTGTCCTCACAGCAACTTCTTGGGAGGTCCAGAAGGCAAAGCCAGAAAGCAAGTCAATGAAATCAGCTCATTATATATAAAGAAAAAGCATTTATGTAAGGGTGCTTATGGATAGACTTATTTGTGTTGAGTGCCTATTTAATTTCATACAGGGCCACATCTCATCATACCGTTTAGATATGGACCAGGGCGTCCTTTTGCTTTGCTTTTCCTTGAGAAGAGCACACAGCACTGCCACCTTGTTGCCAAAGTCTGGCCTGATTTGAATGTACTGGAAAATCAAGTGAATGCCTGTTGTAGAAAAAGCTCACTCCTTCTCTTTGTCAGTACTTGCAAAAGCAACTTAAAAGAAGTTAGTATTACTGGCCTGCATTCAGTAATTAGCATAATCATGATGCCATGCATTGTTCACCCGGACACGCCCCCTGGCCACACTTCCCATTAAGAGGACACTGATGTTGTCCTAGTGAATAAATCACGGCACACATGATGCAAACCAGCGTGTTCCTGCCTGCCGCTTGGCTGCAGTTAATTTTAGCCAGGGTTGGTTCTATGAGTTGTAAAACTGTTTACCCAAGTAGAAGTTAGTAAGCTGAAATGTGACTTCCCAGCCCGATGTGATAGGGTATCTATTTTAGACTTTAGATTGAGTTTGTGATCGGGAGAACAGTCTTCTGAAGAATTGGGGCTCAGCTGTCTTAGAAGCTACTTGTAAGTACTGGGTGGATTTTTAAGAGTTCTCTTTGTTCTTGTCTCCTTAAATCTTCCTAATGTTACTATCATAGAAAATTATCTCTTGGAAAAACTGGAAACTTTGGGGCTGATATTTTCAAGAAATCTAAGAATACTGGCAAAGATTTTTCTTTAAATGTATCCTACTGCCTTGTAAGATATAAGATAACCTGTCTTATCCAGTGTTCCCAAGAGAAAGCATTTGATTCTTATTTAATTTTATTTTGGCAAAAGCAGTCTGTAGATTATTACTTACTTCATCTGTTTAAATATTTGATTAATGGATATGGTTTCTGTAAATACAGAAACGTTATATTATGTCATTGAGCTTTCTTTTCCATGGTAACCTAACTCTTGAGGAAAAAAATGTTAAAAGTTAATTCCTGTTGTACACCGTGCTGCAAGTTTATGCTGTAGAAATAGTGGGCTGTTGAATATAATTTTGTTGAGTTTATAGATGGACAGTTTGTATTTTTTAAAGGGGGATTTTGTACTTAAGAATAGACTTATATATTCCTAAAGAAAAGTACTTTAAAAAATTAATTTCGGACTAAGGTTTTAGACAGTAATTTAAAGCATCCTCTGGAAAATTGAATTAGTTATCAAAATTAATGAAAGGCCATGAAATTCTCTAATTTTAACTGCTCTTAATCTAACAAGTTATTACCAATTTACATTTGGACTGAAGAAAACTAAATAATTTAATATCGAATATTTTCAATTACAGCTGAATCTCCTTGCTTATTTAGAAGTGTGTTTTCAGAGTCGACTGACTTCATGTCAGACAGCTTACTTACAACATGGAACTAGGCAGGATTTTCCTTATCAATTAGCATATAAATGTATCAGCTTTAGAAATATTGATTTTAATGAAACAGTTCTACTGGTGGTATACATAGCTGCTTACCAGGTATCCACATCTGCCAACTCTGAGCAGGGAGGGACTGGGATTGTCATTTTCACATTTTGAAAAGCTTTATTTAAAGACTTCTTTGTTATTATGCATTGTCTGATTTTAAATACAAGTGACATAAGGTGTCAACAATGAAAGGAAGTGTTTTAGTGGTAGATTTAGTAGGAAAAGAATGTAAGAATGGAAAATAGAACTGAGCTCTTGGGCTATTTTTAGAAAGAAACTTTTTTCATACTTAGTTTTTTATTGAACGGAAGAGAAATTTGCTGCCCAAATTAATGATGAAAGTCTCTAATGTCATCTTAAGCTGTAAAAAGGATTTTGCTGCAGTAATACTACTTAATATATACTTTTATCCAAAGAATGTAACAAATTTTATTTATTTTTACTTTTAATTGTTAATAAAGCACCATCAGAATCTCAGTGACATGTTTTTAAATATGTACTGCAGTTAGATGTTAGTTTTTCTGCTTGTATTCACTTGACCAATATAGCTTTTAGTCCTGCAAAAGAGAGTAACTGATTAGAATGTATACATTTTTAATTGAACAGAAAGGAGTTTTCATTGGTTTTTCTACTACTAGGAAGCATGTGTTTTATGACGAGTTGCTAAAACGCTCATAAACACTTCCTGAGTGTGTTTTAGCAATTTATGTGCTGTGAGAGAGTGATATCGGTTGGATGAAAGCAGAGTTGGTTTTCATGATGTGTCAGTGTCAGAATTCCTGGTGTTTGGTGGGGCTGCGGTTCTGTCACTGCTTCCTGTCCCCTTGCCTGATGGAGTGACGCTTGTCGCGGTTCTCTGTGAGTACAAGCTCTGTTGCCTGGTTATGACCTTGGGTGTGACAAATTGCGATGAGCTCGGTGCGCAAAGGCAGATGAGGGTCCATGTGTGGAGAGAAAAGGCAGTGTGGCACCTTTAGGAGGGAGCTGGGAGCTGTGCCCGTGCCTCCCCTGCTCTCCCTTCACAGGTGACTGCTCTTGTTGGCCGCCTGTCCTCTCATCCTACTCCTCCACCTCGTAAAATAGTTATAGGCCCAGAGGCTCTGACAGAGTCGCTGCTGATTGCAGGAGATTTATTTTACTGTTACTTTGTGCTTGGAGAACAGCCTTATACTCAGATGCTTGGAGGGACTCTTCAGAGAAGCAGCTAGGTGTCTTCCCCCTGGATCGCTTGCATTCGCCACCGTTTTAATGGGCCACTTGTCTGCACAGCTAAGTGGGAGCTGCAGTATGTAACAGGGTACCTTTCCATTTGGAGCCAGATGCTCAGTGATCACATCCCTAGAATGTTCTCTTTCAAAAGGAAATTTTATAGGGAGAGGCTTTGTTATGTTGAGATTCAACTGTTTTATCTAAAATGGAAGGAGCAAGGAGTGGAAGAATGTCTTGAGCTTGGCCTGTCTTGTGCACAAATACATGGTGAGAGGCTCTGGCTCTCAGGAAGAATGCTGATTTCTCGGGGAAATACTGGAACTGTTGTTATTATTTAGCATGTATTAAACACCCCCCAGAGCACACACAATGCACAAAGAAAGCATAGTTTCTGACTCCCAAAGAACTCACGTGCTAAAATCAAGCAGTAGACAGAAACTGGGCCCTGGCATTTCAGTAAATAAACTGGCAGGAGAAAGACTATGGAAATTCAGAATATGAAACAGGGTGGATTGAGAGTGCTCCAGGATCTCATTCACCTGGGCTTTTGCCGAAGAGGATTAGGACAGATGGCCTTGCCGCCCAGGCTGCTTCTTCCCTTCCTCCTCCAGCAGCTGGTGAGTGATGGAGACCAGTGACAAGGCTGCCCCAAGAGCCTGGTCTTCCACTCCAGTTCTTTGTTGTAACCTTCTACAAAGGGAAGGTGGTTCTGTAGTTTCACTTGCTCCTGACCCAGTCACTGTCATATGGAGGGGGTAATCTTGATGTAGAGTCCAGTCAATATACAAAACAACTTTCTCCATAAAGTGATATTTAGATAGAAATCTGAATTTGAGTTCCAGATTCTCTCTCCCTCCTAAACTGATCTGCAGTTGAACAAGTTACTTGACCTGCACTGGTTTAGGATATTGAGTCCCTGTTAAATTAGAGAAATGCCTCAAGCTTCTCAAAAGAATGGCTTTGTGAAGGTCTAATGAAAATCACTGCAGCTGATGAAGGAGTCAGAAGAAAATGACTCAGAAGAAGAGCTCTGAGGCCACTTGGGTGCTGGGTATGAATGGATGCAATGAACTGTGTCAGCCTGAGTCATCCTCCCTTCACACCTGACCTTGGCCAGTCTCTAAGGCTCTGAGTCAAGCTCATGATTCCACGACTTGGAGAGAGCCCTACAAAGCACCTCAAAAATGATTAAGGGTTGACAATGATGCCTGTAATAAGAGGGTAGGGAACTTCTGTTGTTTAGACCAGAAGAGGATGGGGGGAAATGACTGGGGGATTCTTGAATTGTAATTCAAGCAATGTGCCTCTGTCACAGAGTAGTGGCCAGCTATTTCCTGTTCCCCTTGAGCATACAAGGGTTAAGTCCAGTGAGGATTAGCTTAGACCTGTGGTGCTCACAGTGTGCTCACCTAGGAGCTTGGGAGAAATGCACATTCTCTGCTCTGCCCAAGACCTGCTGATTCAGACACCGTGGGCTGGGGCCCAGCAAGCTGTGTTTTAACAGGCCTCCCAAGTGAACCTGATGATGCACACTGGAGTTTGAGGACCACTGGATGAGATATAAAGAAGAAGGGTATTATAAAATGGGGAATTTGAATGCTGGAAAATGTACACTGTTTTTTCCTGAAGTCATCTGAAAATGGGTTTATTTTTGTTTGCAATGTTTTCAATGTTATCTCTAAAGTCAGGAGATAAATGACCTCTCAAAGTGCCCTCTAGCCATGACTTTGCTCTGGATTTTCTTTTGTCACTTAGAGAAGATTAATAATTAACGAGGAAAATTTTGCAATTACTTTTCTGAGCTCAGAAGTTAAGATGGTGTCCATTTCAAATGAGGATCAAATGAGATAATGTTGTGTTATCACCCACTTTATGTTATCACAGTGTTGCTAAATGGATTGTCTCCTCCCTATCGATTTCTCACAGCCACCTGAAGGAAGTTTGGGCAGGGATGGTATGTAGTCAATATGAGGGTGGTTTGGTGTCAGCCCAGGAGCACCTTTTATCACAGACTGCCGACTGACCTCTCTTCAGGAAGCTGTGTCATAAGAGAGGAAGCCATAGGGGAAATGTGATTCTACCCATTTCCCCAACTCTGTCACCTCCACTGGAGGAGAGCTGGCAGGAGAGCTGGTAGATCACCTCCAGGAATGCAGTTCCATACCCCTATGCACCTACCATGGGGAACTTCATATGCACCCTGGGGCAGGGGGCAGCTGGGAAGGACCTGATGCCAATCCAGTGACCATTGTGTTGGGTCTCCACTGGAGGTAGAAGATAGAGACATCATTTTTCTGTACACTTTGTATTTACAGCAAATAACCCAGTGGTGCACCCAGAAGGCACTAATACAAATAAATTCTAAGTATTCCGTTGGAGTAGCCAAGTCACAGTGCTCTGCCCTCTCACAATGTAATGAGTTATCCAGAGTGAGGGAGGTGGCAGTTCTTATCCTTCCCAGTGGAAACAGTTGCTCCTAAAAGTCCCCTCATTGTCTCTCTCCCTCCGCCCCTTTTCCACACATAATATAAATGCATCTTAATTTAGTTTTGTCTTTGCCCTTTTGTGTATTTTTCTTTGTGCTTTTGCTTGACAGATTGTCTTGGTTGAAAACTCAGGCTGCTGAGAGTGTATCTATTTGTTATACTTTGTAGAGCATTTCGCACAATGAAACCTTTGTGATTATAATGAAGAAAGGGTGCTCAGAGAATGTTTTGCCAGCACTGTTTAAAAAGTGTCACACAAGTAACACACTGCTGTCCAAAAAAGACATGCCCTGCTTTAGTCAGGGAATTGTGACCCTGACACATTAGCCCTTGAAGATGAGATTAGTAGAATCCTTGGGTTTTATAGCTATAGTTAATCACGTTTGCAGAATGTTAAACATTTCTTGAGGTGAGAAAAGACAGTT